AGAAAGTTGAGGCAACACTTAAATCAATTGAAGGTCTCTTCTCATGTCTTTCTTTCCTTACAGCTCTCTTCAATTTATACCAACCATGATGGAATCAAGTTTAGGCAACACTTAAATCAATTGAAGGTCTTCACGTACATACAAATAGGAGGGGTAGGGGTAGCATTTTGTTTTTGTTTGGTTTGTTTGTTTGTTTGTTTTTTCTCTCTTTACAAAGCATCTTGGTTTCCTATTTGATGCCCGACAAAGTGATGAGTCGACTCATCAGTTGAAGCTCGGACATTATTCAATCATATATATGACTTTACTTGTTTTTAATAGTATAACTTTACCATTTCTACACAAGGCATGTAAGGGGTAGAAATCAAACGATTGACCTTTGTGATTGGAGTCTTTACGTATTGACTTAAGTTCGGATTAACATATACTCCTTTCAAAAGTTATTCAAACCCCGGGGTGGTCATGATTGGACCTTTGTTGTAATAACCCAAAAAAAAAAAAGGAAAAAAAAAAAAAAGTTGTCCTATGTTATTTATGTTGAAAAGTGGGAAGTTATGATGATGTGATATATTATGATGACATGAGATGTATGACGATATGAAACGTTATAATGATATGTATGTATGAGATGTCATATTACACTATGACATGAATATAGTTGGCAATGAAATGTATGACATGCTCCAACTCCCAAGTAATATTATGAATGATATAATGTATGAAAGCTTATACATACATGTTATATAGGGTAATATGTGCGGAATGAATGGGGTTGTGCTACATGAATTATTTAAGATGAAAAGTATAGGGACCTCATGCATATTGTATGTTCACATGTATCAGGATAGTTCCCTTTTTATACTGAGTACGGACGCGTACTATAATGATAGACTAAACGCCACCTTAGAGACTATGGTTTTTAATGATAGGTCCCTATTCATGTTGCATATGTTTGCATTCATTGACTCAATAATAGTGTCACTAACTGAGTATTTCTTAAAATATTCAAGTCACGTACTACTTTTATATTTTAGGTAAAGGTAAGATACCCCTATATAGTTGACGACAGCGGCGTCACATCAAAAACCATAAGACCTGCATAGGATAGTTGCATTTATTTTTGTAGATCTTACGTTACTACCGGGTATTTGTTCTTTTAATATTTTCTTGGTTTTATTTTAATTTACTTTTAATATTTCCTTTGTATTGTTTTTAAGACTCTTTCATAAACGTATAAGTTTATGGCATCGTTTTATAAAGTTGTTTTCAAAAGAATGTTTCGGCATAAAAATGTTATGTCATATCTATGGTAGCGATTCTAATCCAATACTATATTTGTAGTGATATTACTTATAAAAAAAAAAAAATACCTTTACTATATCTTTAATTACAAAATTAATGGAATTTTCTTAAATAATCTAAGAAAATTAGAGAAATTTCCATGTTTGCCTCCTATTTCAATCTTTATCGCTACCAATTCTTCATTGATTTTTGTGGTAATCGAGTCAGAGATTTCATACCGAAATTCGAGCCGATGGAGTTTTCTTTGGGAAATTTTTGTCCATCTTCTTATATATTTTTTTAAATATATATTAATTTCAAAAAAGAATTAAATAGATAGTTTTTAATTGGAAAGAGTAACTCTTTTAATGGAATGGAATCAATTTTTACCATTATATGTAGTAGTAGTTCAAGATTTAATATTTTCATTTTAAAGTTGGATCAATTGTAACAAATTACCATTCATTAAGGGTACAAAAATTCATATATGTATTCATTTCTTGATGCACTTACATGCATGACATAGATTGTTATGCGCGGAAGATTTCATTTAAAATATTTCGTAAATGATATCATGAACTTAGACGTTTGTAAAAATCAGTTTAATTAGAAGAAAACACAATGGAGTAGCGGAAGCAATAATAAGTTCAAAACAATGAGAACGCCATAATCTTAACATAAATGCAACTACCCTAGCTTTGGTTTAGTGGCATTCCCAACAATGTCATCATCCGTACAATGGTGCCTTACTTGTACCTCAAAACAAAGTACCATGTGACCTTGAACTTTACTTTCTAGTTCGGAGAAAAATTAGATTTATAGTACTCTTTTACATATGGCTCACACGCGCGCATGAATCCACAAGACAGGCGTATGTACCCTGTGGTCTTGCCCTTCAACTAGCGCACACTCACACTGCCAAAACCATAGAGGAACAGGAGCCCACATAATATCATGGAAAAATATAGATATTGTAATGTACATGTCCGTACTCATCATAACAGGGAAGTATCCCGATGCATGTGACATACAAGATGCATCAAAACCCATAATATCAATTCATGTCATATACATATGATGCAAGTCATACCTCCCTTCTTTTTCATGATGCAACATCCTACGACATATGCATACATAACACTTGTCTTATCTTTTGTAACTAACATACATGGCTTCTAATGTCTCATAGGCAATGAGGAAACGTAATCCATGTCTTACAAGGCTTGGCATATAGAGGTTCATGCATCATCATACATGATCGATAACATATCATAATTCCATAACATAACATAATCATTACATGACGACATCATAGACTAAAATAACATCGCATACATGTATGGAAGTCATTAGCTTTTCATTTGGTCCTACTCGTTGAAGCCTAACTTTGAAGCTAACTCCGAACGACTTCCTCCAACTTATTTTCTTCTTCTCCTTTTTTCTTTCTTTCTTCTTCGTATTTCCCATTACTGAAATTGGTATTTCCCAAATTGGGGGCATAACTATGGGGGCATGTCGGTCATTTTATACATATTCATGGTTTAGCCCCTTTACGTAATCTAATGACCACCAAATTTCATGTATAATCTTATCCTGACACATTAAGCTTTCTATTAAAATTTCATGGGTGACAAAATCTAGTTAGTGAGTTATTTTAAAGTCACTACCTATTTAATACTGATTCATTTTTATTTCGCGAAAATGATTTTATCATGTTTTCATTATGCTTCGAAGGCCTCAAAGATTGAATCATGACAGATCGATTCAGGAGTTACCTGTTATATTTTCGGGATTATTCTTACTAGTACTCATTTGAATGTTTTAGGAATTGGCCAAAATATTTGCCGGTTAGAAAGAAATTGGTCAAAATACATTTTTTACTATCCTATTTATTCAGGATATTTAGTAATAAATTATAGTTTACCTTATATATCATATTTTATATTTTATTATAAGGCAAGATATTTGGCTTATTACCATAGGTATCTTTCCATTTATTGTTATTTTCGTTTATTTCTCTTGTAATTTATTTTATTATAAATAAGATAATTTTCACACAATTTAGGTGGGATTGATTAATCAAACATTCTTACTATTTTTATAATTAAGGTAAGTGGCTTTTTTATTACATTATCTTAGAGCTCGGTCAGATATGTATACATGTGTTATGATTTGTGTTATGCATGATTTGTGTTGTTCATGGTTTATGGAATGGTTGTGCATGCATGTATTATATTATTTAAATATCGTCATACCCCGTAAAATATATGAATTTTTTATGAAAATTACCTATTTAATACACAACATCTTATACCATAGTGGCTCAAACTCCATTGACTAGGTGCCAATTTTCATCCCTTTAGAATAAAATCCACCCAGATTCCATTATAGAATTGACAGTCACAGATCATCAAGTTATAGATATGTTTTTAAATAATAAATTTACGTCCCTTTTCCACCTTGCATGTGCTTGTTTGTGTACGCATATCTAACCCTACACGAAATTACTTACTATATACATTTAATACTAAAATCTTTTGAAACTTTTTTTTTCTTAGATAATGGCTAGGACAAACAAGGTGCATGTTGAGATTGATGGATAGTTGTGACACAAGGTCGTATGGCACTATGTTTTTCCAGTTTCCACATTTGAAGTTCTTTTCAAGAGTTTATGAACCCATTTCGAAATTTATTTATTTGACTATATGTTAGTAACGATTTAATTTTTCCTGTCTATAAACCATAGAGTTCCAAATCGCTATGTCATTAACTAAGTCAACTCAAATGAGTATTAAAATATCGAATAAGTAACCCACTTAGGTTTAAGTAAACAAAACCTTTGAGTTTCTCACATGTGACTAGATTCTCTCAAATAGCTCTGGTGAACCTCGCATCACTTATAGAATCCTACTACTAAACTAACCCATTTAATTTCACGAGGGTTTCGGGTTTCGTTTCAATGTTACAAGGCATCACTTATAGAATCCTACTACTAAACTAACCCATTTAATTTCACGAGGGTTTCGGGTTTCGTTTCAATGTTACAAGTTATTAATCTCTTCTATATCTCAATCATGGTATTCACATATAACCCCTTTAAGTTTATCATAATTATTGAGTTTACATAAACTATTTTTTTGAACATCCTTCGATCATTGGTGTCACGTAACTTAACTCCTTCAAGCATTTTACAGTGTGGAATGTTGGAATCGCACAAGAACGCACACATTCGATCTAGATGAATACAAAGAACAGGATAGAGAAAATGCAAGGAGAACTCTGGCTAAAGAATTTATATTGATGACTTCAAGTATGTACCGTAGGAGAGAATACAGAAAGTACATTTTCAGAACTTTGTCTGAAGGGATATATATATGATTTAGCTTACTATATATAATTTTACCAGATATAACCATCTACTATATATAATTATCTACCATATATAATTTTATCGATATAGCTCTTTACTATACATAGCTATTTACTATTTATGACAATTTACTTTATATCTCATTTACCAAATATTGTTGACTTGACTATAAATAAGCAGCATCCTCCATAACCTAACAATTCTACCACTTGGAGGCTGATCCAGTCAACCAAGAATTTCATTCTCAAAAAACGATCATGAATATCTTCACTGCACCATACCAATTGAGGTTTTGCACAGCCTCAATATTCCAACATCAACACATTTTATCAACATGTTTGCTAGATTCTTTGCACACTCTATCTTCTCAAAACACATCACCATCTTCCACTAACCTGCAAGTGAAATGGTATTGCCTTCCGTGTTTTATCTTTAAATGATAGACCGAGTTCCTCGCCAACTGTATGACACTCTGACTATCTCTATAAAAAATCTTTGTGCTGCTTCTTGCCCAATTCTTCCAGATAGTCAGTCATCCATATCATCTTCTTTCCAGCTTCAGCTATTGCCATGTACTCGGCCTCAATACAACACATTTTTGAAGCCTAGACGTCCCATCATCCATAGTTTGCTCCCACTTGGTTGTATCCTCCAACTGTAGGGTCTCCTCAAAGGGTTATGGTTCCCTTTCATCAGCAACAGATAGTGTAATGAAGTACATACATATCTGGTATTCTGATAGTACTAGATGATCTTCTCAACACCGGTTCAGGTGTCAGTTGCTCCATTGCTGATTCCTCCGCAACAACCTCAGGAGTTTGTTGAGTATCTGCTACAAGATCACTAGGTGATTTTCTCCGCAACTCAACCTCAGCTCCCACTTGCTTTGTTGTCTTGGAACCTTGCTCCACATCTAGTTCCTCAGCAGTAGTCTCAGGAGTTTCTTGAGTATCTGCTACAACATCATTAGGTGAGTTTCCCTGCAACTCAAGCTCGACTCTCACTTGCTTCGTGGTCTTGGAACCTTGCTCCACATCTGGTTTCTCAGCAGTAGTCTCAGGAGTTTCATGAGTACAACATCTGCTACAACATCACTAGGTGAGTTTTCATGCAACTCAAGCTCAACTCCCACTTGCTTCGTTGTCTTGGAACCATGCTCCACATTTGGTTCCTCAACAGTAGTCTTAGGAGTTTCATGAGTATCTGCTACAACATCACTAGGTGAGTTTTCCTGCAACTCAAGCTCAACTCCCACTTGCTTCGTTGAACCTTACTCTACATCTGGTTCCATTTCCAACCGCACTTTCTTCAACTCTCTAGCAGTCCTTGTGAAGCTAACTTGTTTCTGCTAGCTCATAACGTAGTTCTCACAATGACCCACATCAACAGATTTCAGACCTTCTAAAACTCCTTTCGCAGCCAGCGTCTTCATTCCTTTCACGCTCATATGTCCAAGTCTATTGTGCCATAGACTTGAATTTGAAGCACTCTTAGCAACAGCATTTATGTTCATACACCCTGCTGTGGTGTATAAGGTTCCAGATTTTGAGCCACGTGTTGCCACCGTAGCACCCTTCATAATCTTCCACGAACTCTTCCCTAACTTTGTTGCATAACCTGTGCTGTCCAACAGACCAATAGAGATTAAGTTCTTCTTGAGACCAGGAATATATCTGACATTTTTTAATGTCCACTAATTTCCTACCGGAGTTTTTATGCAGAAATCTCTTTTTTCTTTTAATCTCCAAATCTTTGTTGTTAGTCAGATACATCTTCTCCAAATCTTTTTTCTTCTGTAAGTGGAGAGACAAAAACATTCTATTAGGTAGGAAAAAACCTTTTTCTATTACTTCTCTGTTTTATGTCTTTTTCTATACTTCTTTACAATTTTTTTTACCATAGAAATTACAATCTATTTATAACCATTCACATTCTCAAACTGAAATAATAAAAACTCTTTCACTTTTCCACTCAGCTTCTGAATTTAAATTCCCACTAAAGAAAAAGAACCTTTAATGTTTATAGAGTTTTATTTTCAATCCAAATTGATACTTACATATTACCGGTGAGCTAAATGAACAGATAGGGTTAAAATCAGACAAAATTTACCCAGTTTCTAGTTCCGAAGATCAACCTGCATATGGATGCAACTTGTTAAACAGTATTAAATCAAGTAAAATCGACTGGTTTAACCTGCACACATACCTTACATCGAAGGTTAGGTGATCGCTTCCCTCCCACGTCCAAAGACGTGTCGTGTAAATAAAATCTTAGCATCTGATCATGACAAAAACAGTTTGGGAGAATTAATCAAACCATAAAAATCAAATTAAAAACGTTAAAACTGAAGGGATCATATTAAAACCAAAATATAAGAACTAAAATGGTAATTAACCCACAATAGCTATTTTGGATGAACAATCCTAAATAGCTATTATGGATGAACTTACAATTATAAGAAAACAAGACCTCCAAAACATGTGATAAATTACTGCAGGAAATATCTTCCATCTAAGCACACCATCCTTTCATGTTACATATCAGACACAGACCAAAGATATGCTTCCCTTTCAGTAGCTCGTTTCTCGTTCATCCTCTTGAACATTTGCTTCTCGAATCCTACAACGAAAACCAATTAAACAATGTATGAACATCGATGCAAGACCAAAACACAGAGTCGACGCCTGTGTCTGCTTTTTTTTAAGCACAATGCAGTTAAAAAGAATATACAAAGGCCTGACTGATCCTAAACTCAAATTATTTTTAAATTTAGTCCTCAAGCATTAAAATGTTTCAATATACCACTAAGCTTTTTGATTATTTCAAAATCATGTTTCCTACTAACCTCATTAGAAAGGAATATATATATCGTTGAAGGATCAAATTGTAAATTCATATATAGTTTGTCAGAACATTATCCAGTTTATGAATTATAACTTAGACGGTAAAATTGAAATCTAAGCTACAAATGAAGGACCAAACTGTAACATACATGCAAATTACCAATTCATGTTTGAATCAAATTTCTTAAAGATGTTGACTCAGTGAGTGATTTTGATAACAACCAAAATGAATCAGATATAAACTAACCGTTGCTACGATCGACTCCATCCCAATGTCTTCCTGGTCTTATACCATATCGATTAGGTGCAGCATCCAATCCCCTCTTTAGCCAGCTGTGAGGTGGAATATCCTGTGGAATAATGAACCCTGATTCTTTCATCTTCTCACTGTCTCCTAGATCAGGAAGAGCCATCTCAGATTGCTTTTTCTGCAATATGTGCAATGCAAGAGGTCAGACCTACTATCAGTTCTTCAACTTCAACTCATTTTAGAATTTCAATTGGTTACCTTCACCAAATGTGCCATAGGATCGCCCCATCTCAGTCTCTCTCTCAACATTGAGTCAAGCTCGGCATCATTACTGAAAACAATTTGGCAGACATTAAAGGGCCTTCTAGTCTCATAAAAGTACAACAAAAATTACACTTGGATTCAACTTTCAAGAATCCAGACGTTAGGAAATCTCTAACAATAAAAGGAAAGAGAATAAAGATACTAAAATTGGAGAGTATCCAGTCATAAACCTTCAACACCCAGCTAATAGAGGCACACAGGTATTTGATATCCCAGAAGAAGCACAGATAAAACTAAAATCCGAGAGTACTCAGTTTTACCTTGACCGTGCAAATGGTCTATTCTTCTCGAGTTCTAATTCCATACGTTCAGCTTCAGCTTCTCGTTTTTGAGCTAAGCCCTTGCCCCATTCCAATTTTATTTCCTGAGAAGGAAGATCATCACAAGCAGCGACAATGATATTTGATAAAAGCATATAGGTTATGATAAGTACTTTATCTCCTGAGAAGGAAGTCATCAAATACAGCCATAATGAAATTTTTCATACAATAATTTATGATAATAACTCTTCAAAGTACCTTGGGCTTTTCTTCTATTTTTCCTCGTGCTTTTAAGAATCCCTCTTTTGAAATTCGATCTCCTGTAATGTTCTGAAGTGTGAGGTAGATTGTATCACATAATGCCAAATTTTCTACAAGAAAGATAGGTTAGATGTCGATTGCCGAACCTTTAATCTTGTCTCGATACACAGGCTCTGCATTACTACTTGCAGAAGGATTCATCTCTTTAAACCTAGAAGACAAAAAATGGTTATTCCATCCTTTGTAAATCCATATAGAAATCATTTGAAAAGCATAACCACACAAGGCATAAACACATTTCACCGTATTTCTCTAAGAAAAATGAAATAGTCTAAATTCAAAAACCAAACTGGAGATCTCATGGAAAAAGCAACCTCATTGAAACAGAACCGAATGCAATTGCATTGTATTCAACCAACAGGCCTGATTAAATTCCTCGAATTTAGCCAAAGGTCATACTTCTGGTTGCTTAATAGTTCTTTGTAATTACTACCATAAACTAATTAATTTTACTTAAAAAGGCCCTTGTTTGGTAATGTTTTGGCGTTTTCAAACTTCACCTATGTTGACTTCGTAAGTTTTTATAATAGGGCTATGATGTTTTTTCTGACTACACTACTGCATTCAGTGTTGAACCTGGCAAACATAGAGGGCTTCATTGATTCTATTATAAATTTCACAAAATGAACATAAATTAAATACTGGGAGGTCACTCGGCTAAACGGCTTTAAAGATCATGTTTCACTGATCATTGCAACAGCCACTTAATGAAAGTTTGAACCATGGTCAAAAGCAAACCATAGTCTCTCCATCATGAAGCACAAATAGATATGGCATCGACTTATAAAACTTCATGAGGGGAAATACGGAAATATGGACAAACACCACAAAAAAACTATCCAAATTCCAAAACACGTTCGTCCCTCAGCAATTTTTATTTTCGGGCATTTGTTATGATGTGGTCATATGGCATCCTACATCATTCACAACCAGCCATCCGATTTTCTTATCAAAAAAATAGAAAAAGAAGATAATTATGGAGGAAAATTTCTTAGAAAGAAGTGACTATTTAAGGCAGAACATTTTAAGGGAAAATAATATACAACCTCACCTCGTCCAGTCCTCTTTGTTAGTTTTAGACATTTCTTCCCCAAACTCTTTCTGAGTAAGCAAACCAGTCTTCCGTGCCTGTTTAAAGGAGACTGAAACCGGCAGTGCTTTTTGCTTTTTCCTATGAGGAGAAAGATCTGCTGGTGATTCTTGTGAATCATCCGTAACAATATGGCTCTGTAAATGCTTATCTGAAAGTGATCGATCTCTACTCACATCCTTCCTTTGTTTCCTTGGAGGTGAAAGATCAGATCCATGTGATATATGAGCATCATCAGCATAGCCTGAAGTTCTTCGTCGAGGAGGAGAAAGGTCAGATAACCCTGCAGCCTTGTGATTGCCCCCTAAACTTGCTTTAGACGCCTGCCTATCAGATCTCCGAGGTGGTGACAAATCAGACTGTGGAGAAACAGATCGTGCAGGTTTTACATCGGATTCAGGGGAGGGAGTATGGTAACGTCTCCTTCGCTGTCGTGGAGGTGATAGGTCAATATCTTTCTGTGCGCAATCTCTATAAACATTCTGCTTTTGTGGTTGATATAAGTCAGATCTTGGAGACTTAGAGTTTGTAGGCTTTTCCTCATGTTCAAGTGAGCTAGGATTTTGCCTCTGCCTCCTCCGCGGAGGTGAAAAATCTTCACCTTCTTCACCAGATACTGAAGGCTTCAACTCATTAGATGGAGAAGGTGTATCATTCCGAGCTCTTGTTCTACGAGGTGGAGATAAATCACCATTCACCATGCTAGAATTTGCATGGTTTGGAGAGAGTGAAACTCAACCACTTCCATCTTCACTTATGGAATTATATGGTCGCTTGGCTTTTAGTTCTTGAAGCCTCCTCATTCTCTTAACCTCAATATCTTCATTGACTTGGGGCTCCTCATCTACAGTATAGGAGAACGGAGATGTAAAAACAATAGCCAAAAATTCCCTAGGACAAAATATACAAATTCATAAACCACACTAATACTTTACCAGTCGAATTATCAACATTATCCTCTTCAATAATTATTAGCTTCTGCCAGACAGGATCTTCGTCCACGACTAAAACACCTAGATCATTTGGTTTGGTTGCTGTTGTGGTCCTCTTCTTTTTCTTCTTCTTTTTCTTATCCACCTCGGTGTTACTTTCATATCGTTTAAGATATTCCTTAAAGGACTTTGATTCCACAGACATCGTTTAATCTCCCCAACCCTGCACCATATGATTAATCAAGTCCAAGTACATGAAACCAAAAATAGATAAGCACTCAAAAGACTGTATAATAAGAAAGAATACAAAAAGATATCGCAAGGTAAATATGAATAAGTGGGACTCCTAAACTCTTTCATTGAAAAAATAAATGGAAAAATCTCTTTTCCTTTTAGCCAAAACTTCGAGGCCAGCCTTTCCTTCGAGGCTAAAACATTTAAACATTTCCTCCTTAGTCTTACCTTCAAGGCACAATCATTTAAAACTTTTCATACATATAAATGACGTTCCATAAAATTCATTCTTTAATCATATGATGCAACATGGAATTCTTCTTAACAGTTACATCAACATCACCATTCAACATTCAACAATTTGAAGAGTCTCAAACATCATACATTTTTTCAACCTAGCACTAAGGCATTCTGATAGAAGAATCATTTACCTTGTTAGCAACTTAAAGAAAAGCCACAGCCAAATGTCCTCATATCAACCTAATATAAATTTCTGAAATTAAAACCAGCCTTAACAAATCCCAAGACTTGATACTATTAAATAACCCAAAGGAGTACTTAGGAGAGAAGCTAACTCAATCTTACCTAACATAGTCCTTAATGACTCAAAATGGCCGATCCAAACCTAAACTTCAAGGGATTCAATGGCAAGAAGCTAATCTTGTGTACTTCAATCGAATTCGAAGGAGTTCAAAGTAACTAGATTCTTACCAAAGGGTTCAGATTCTGGTTGGTGAAAAGATTCGAACTCACGGATCTGAACTTTAAAAATTATGGCAATCTGATTTGGGATTATCTGGAGTGTAGGTCACAGCCAAGGATTGATGACCAGCCAAGAAAATGCACTTAAGAGATTATACTTGGGTCATTGTCACCCAAAGCACGTTGTCACTGTCCTTCAGCTCGAGGGTATCATCACGCTCAAGGGAGGGCTTCAGCTTGTGGGTACCATTAGAGATGAAAACAGCTGCATGGTCGCTGGAAGAGAATGCATAAAAATAGTCGTATGGAGCAGTGATCAAAACCATCGCACTGAACAACAAGCAAAAATTGATGAAGAAAAACAAGATGGTTCTTTTGTTACTTTCAGGCGATTGGAAAGATGGACATATTAACAATATACCATCTCAATTCAGCCTATCCCATCATATTTGAAATGGGATATGGTTCCAATGGATGAACTGCATATGGACAGTTCATCTCAATTATGTATTTATAAAATATCATCTTAATGCATCCTATTTCATCGGATCTAGAATGTGATATGATTCTGAAGAATGAACTAGATATGGACATTTCATTGACAGAGTCCTATACAGACACAACGAAAGGAAATGCAACAAATAGACGACATTGGGGGCAGCAATATGAGGGAAGGAGAACAGATTTTGTTTCTTGTTCTCCTTTTTTTCTCATTCTTTTATTTCCCTTTTTTCTTCCCTTTTCATTTCCTTTTCTTTTCCTACAACTCAAAGCTACACTATATTCCAAACATGGGGAGAAATAACTTGGACTTTTCAAACTTCACTTAATTAAATTATCAAAATTAATAACTCCAACAAATCCAATAAGAACTCAATTAATCCAAAATATATGTCAAAAGTAGAAATTAATCTTAGGGAAGAACATAGCGCATTACATCTCGCCTCCATTTCTCTTTCTATTTCTCTTCTTCTCCTTTCTTTGTCTTTCCCTTCTTCAATTTCTTCTTCTCTTTCTTTCTTTTCTATTCTTCTTCTTTCACTTTTTTTTCCTGAAATGCGGGGCGTTACAAACTCTCCACCTTTAAGAATATCCGTCCGTGAAAGTTGCTAGGTCTAATAACTTTGAACACTTGGCCTTGATTTCATCTCTTCTTTACCAAGTCACTCCTAAACTTAAACCTTTGGCCAGATTGGTGTGGACACCTGAATTAGCCAAACAGCTCTAGCTCTAAGATCACTTAACAAACAATCGTCAAGAAAACAAAAGATGGAACACTAAGGACCAAGAATAGTCCTAATGTAACAAATTAACAAAACATACAGTGGGTGAGAAGCAAATAAAGGTACAAGTCTAGGGTAGTGTTCCTGTTGCAACTATGTTAGCATATCCCACAGCTTCCTCTATAAGCAAAAACATGTGCTTTCTACTAGCCTCCTTGTGTTCGTGCTAAAATAGCTTTGGGAGTTGGCTTGTGAAAATTTTGCTCACCCTTGGTCAGACACAGCCTTGCAAAGTGTCCCTTTCTACCACAATTGAAACAAGCTCTCTACTTTCTTCAGCATGGCTCAAAGTGATGCTTTTGTAAACAAAGGGCATAAGAAACAAGCAAATTGCTTATTGTTGAGGAGCCCCCTGAGATTGAGTAGATAGAAAAGGAGATTTTCTCTTGATTCTATAAGTAAGCCTGATCACAAAAAGTGGTTGCACCTTTCCTAAGAGACTTTTTTGGTTTCTTGGGATCTTAGTCTCTCTTGCCAAGGTCTTCCTAGGTCCTTCTCTTGGTGGAGGGTTAACCTCATGTTTAGTCAACATAGAGCATAACTCTTTGTAGGGTCATCATGTCGCTTCCTTTTAACCCCAAATGAAGTGCCTACTTCTTCAGGCTACTCCAGTCTTGGAACATCTCTATCTAAAATCATGGCACTCATAACTACAGCAGCATAAGTAGTCAGTCGCCCAAATGCTATTAGTCCTTTTATATCTTTATGAAGGCCCTCAAGAAACCTATCCACCTTCCTCGTTCCTTTGTCAATCTGATCAAGAGTAAAGCAAGAAAATTCAACATGCCCCCTCTCATATTGTGTCACTGGCGTGTTCCCTTGAGTAGTAACGAAAACTCCACTTCTATACCTTATTCTATAGCATCAAGGAGGTATTTGATCAATCAATAGATCCTTGAATCTTGCCCAACATTGTAGGTCATCCATGCAACCCATTAATGGATGCACTAAACTCCACCAAGTGATGAGAGGAGAATGAGAAAGGCCATTAACTCTGACTTAACAACCTGGTTTCTAGGACAATCTTTAGGGACAACTTACCTTTGATATCAACTATAACGTCTCCAAATTTTCATGCTAAATTAGGGCACATTACCAAACTTTAATACCTAATTAATCTCAAGTTCAACACTACGACAATTTAACAGACTAACTTGTTCACTCAACATGCTCAACATTCTCAACACTAATCAGAAGCAACATAGTTCAAATAAGCGTACATCAAGTAACATAAGCAATTAAATACTGCAGCATGCTTAGCAAACAGCAAACAGACCCAACAGGTAGAATTCTACTCCTGTTGTGTTCCTAAACTAGTCAATAGGCTCCTGAAACAACAAGATCATGGTTTGAAGGTTAGAACTCAGTTCCAAAACCTTAATCGAAGTTAATGGCTGTTCAGGAGGATTTATCAACTATTTCTTACCCACTAACAACCTTAATCATAGACCAAACAGTCCGAATTTAGTCCAAAACTACAGTTCTAAAGGTGAGAAGCTAATTATAGCACTAATATGGATTTGAAAAGGTCCAAACAGAACTGCACCACCTCAATCTTATCGAAAACGACTCGAGTCTTTGCTGAAAAGTTTTCAAAGGAGTCCAAAACTAGTCTAAGAAAGAGATTCCAAGTGTAAAGAACAATTTTAAAACACTACATTTGAGTTCAAAAGGAATTTTGAGCATCTTTACTCAATGAATCTTATCCAAAAGGACTCGAATCCTTGCTGGTTGGTGTTGGATTCGATTAGAACTCTCAGATCTAAAGTCGTCCTTCGTGGGTCCTCCGATTGGGAATCTAAGCTGTGGGCACTCAAAATCAATCCAAAAATATAGAGGGTATTGATGTTCTGAGGTTGTTTGAGCGTGGGAAATGGCTGAAAGCTGCCTTCAAATTCAACTGCTAGTCAGAAGCTTGTACCGCTACGGATCGAACTGCCAGCTGAAGGGCCGCGTGAAACAGCAAGGGCCGGACGCCGCTGCTGGCCGAGGTTCGCGTGGGGTTTCTCACAAACGGAGCTCACGCCGGAGAGATTCAGCTACTATTAAGAAATAAAACAATAATTTTTAAATTTAAGAAAAATAACATTAAAAGTTATTATAAAATTTAATTTTGTTGTATATTTTAATTATATTTTCGTTATTTTTAAAGAGTTGATTAATAGTATATTTTATCACAAAATATTAGAGGCGACAAAAAAAAAAAAAAAAAAAAAAAAAAAAAAAAAAAAAAAAAAAAAAAAAAAAAAAAAAAAAAAAAA